TGGACTACCCGATGTTCATCTCCGTCAGTGACTGGCTGGACTCCATCAAGATGAGTCAGTACAATAGCAATTTCATGGCGGCAGGCTACAACACATTGGATTCTGTGGCCAGGATGAGTATTGAGTGAGTGGAGATGTCTACACATAACCATTATTTGATGACGTTCAGATGAGTCATTATCAGCACTATATTCAGCGAGTGGATGAACCTTTGGCTCCAGAAGAGGAGCCTTCAAAAGTTTAAAAAAATAAACCTTGACGTCAAGAGATTCAAGATGTCATATTTATAACAAGAAGCTTGTTTCAAAGTCAGGGTGTAAGGAGGGTGTACTGAAAGATGGTATGTAGAGGAGTTGTGGGTATGTTTATAATCTGAAGTGTATGATTCAATAGCTGAAGCAGCCCTTTAATTATTCAGATGCTTCAGTTATATTTCGTTAAGGTTTTCATCACTTGAGCAGCTCTGTGTGAGTTCTGAGTTCCAATCTGTAGAACACTGTGCACACAGTATACTCACTGGTGTAGTGCGTGAATTCCAATGGGTTAGCGTTGTTTAAAATCAGACTCTGAGAGAGCTGATGTTCACTCACCTGCAGTGATGATTGCAACTAAATTATCAAATTAGAAATGATTTGGCTTCACATTCGGGGAGCTGTCATGTCGTCCATTTTTATATACAGTCATGGTTTGAACATATATTTGTGGTCCCCCCCACTTCTGCCGCAGCAAAGTTGGCGACAGTTGCTGGTCAAGAAGCATCCAATGTTTCAAACTCATCTTTTTGTCCTTTTTAAATGCACCACGTGGATACTGAAAAGTGTGAATATAAAAATATGAGAATTGAGTCACAGCTTTATACTGTGCACAATGTCATAATCAAAGACTGTGTGTGAAGTTGGAGGACAGATGCCAAATCTCAGTTGAATAGATAAATACCTGATCAATAATGAAGACAAAAGCATAAGTCAAAATCTGTAGAATATAAATGAAAGTAAAAAAACAGAACAAATACAATCTGATCATTGTTTTGATTGGTTGGTGCAGCCCTGAGGTTGTGAAATGAACATTTTCTATATCAGATTGTAAATCAAATAAACTGCATGCATAATGTTGAAATCTAAAAATATCTTTAAGATAGAAAAATGAGAGAAGTATAAATAAAAGGAGATGATTCTGTTTCTCCTCAATCACAATCTCTTGTATCAGTGACGGTGATGAATCAGAGTGTACCGTCACTCAGAGGATCTGCACAAAGTGTCACGAAATTGATATGCTCATTGTCCTCCCAGATATAGTTAAAGTGTTTTGTGCCCGTCTGTGTTTGTGTTTCCCCTCTCGACCTAGAGATGTGAGGCGTATAGGCGTGGACCTGATCGGCCACCAGAGGCGGATCATCAGCAGCTTACAGACGCTTCGCCTTCAGCTGCTGCACGAACAGGAGAAAGGTTTTCATGTATGAGGACAACCATGAACACAAGCTGGGACGGATGGACAGGTGGACCAGACGGAAGTGAAGTCTAGACCGTAGTAGAGACAGTCTCCAGCCTGTGCCTGAGTCTCAACCCCCTCATACAGGAGGTCATTGGACAGACTTAGCGCAGCAGACAGCCCCCGTGGTCTCCCTCACGTCCAGTAGTACCAGACTCTTTTTCTACTACACACCCCTCTCCCAGTAAACCTGGTCCCGGTGTGCCAGACTAATACAGCCTGACAGACTCTACAGACTGACCCAGGCCCTCACTTAGGGGAATGTAATGCCTTGTTGCAGCAGCAGTACTTTGTGTGGAGCAACAATATTTAGAGATGTAGATTTGCAAACATTCTACTGAATTTTACTGACTTTTATTTCTTCTTTTCTTGCTCTGAGTTTTGTGCTCTTGTAGCTGCTATCAGGTGTGCAATCGAAACGTTTTGTCTTTTAAAAAAAAAAAAATTACCCTCAGTATCTTATATTTTGGAGTTTAAAGATTTATCACAATTTATTTATTATTCGTTCATCCTCTCCCCAGAGAATATCGTACGCTAATACTTGAAGAGAGAAGCAAGTTATGGAGATTTCTTGAATGTTTAAAAAGTGTATAGACAATTAATCGATAATTATTATCATAACCTAATATCTATATATGTGCAGTCCTGTATGTGAAAGCCCTAGTAAATCTGGATATTATTTTAAAGAATTATTTATTTAATATTTTTTTAATCCAAGTCAGCAATACAGTGTTATGCAGTCACCTCAGTATCTCAGCGAGATATGAACAGTGCAATGAGACAACTCATGTTGACATATAAACAAACACGAGGCTCACGCGACCTCGCCGTCCACCTGTTTTTACCGCCACACGCTTATAAGCTTGCAGAACCGGATCCGTTGCCTTCAGATGAACAACCATACAATTCAATTTTTTTTTGCAGTACTCACAGTTGTGTGATCAGCCTAATTTTTTCTCTTTTCTCTCTCTTTGGATTGTGAATGTTATACGTTGCCTAAAAGTACACACATCTCCACTGTCTTAACATATGAATGTTCACGGATCTTAGATACTGTACAGGTCAGGAGGTGTCTTCAGGAAAAGTAACATGTACTTAGATGGTTTTTCAGGATTTCCTTTCATGCACATTTATCTTTTCACGCTTCCAGGACTAGGTTGAACCAAGATGTCAGAGCGGGTTGATCCATCTGATGTGTAAAAGCTGGCGGATGGATTCGAGGGAACATGATATCCGCCCTTACGTTGTGGTCGTGTTAAAGGTCTTGACGTCTGTGGCAGTCTGAGGAAAATCAGTGTAGAATAAGTGTAGTCTTAGTGGAAGTGGAAATCTGCAATAGATGATGTCATATGTATTCAGATGTTTCTGCCATTGAAATCTTTTTTATTTCTTCGTCATCTAAATCAATGGTGAACAGAAAGCAGAATATCAGAGGAAACTAAAACCTGATTGGTCAAAAGCATCGAGGGAAGACAGCATCATTTGTTTGTGGTGATTAGGAAGAAATTGTCAGATTAAAGGACTTCCAGGAAGGAAGAGACAGAATAAGCATAAAACAGCAGCATCACAACTCTTCATGTGTCATTCTAACATCAACTGTAACACACACACACACACACACACACACATTAACATACACACACTGAATGCCTTACAGTTCGCAAGACAGAAACGCTTTAGAGTAGACCATAAGTTTCAGTGCAGTCAAAGGACCTAGCCATTAGTTTGAGTTGTTATCCATATTAAAGAGAGCGGCCGCTGTGGTTTCTAAGACAAACTGGGTGATTCAAGTCAAAGGCAAAGTGGATCTGGAGATCTGTGCCACAGTCCCTCATCCATCCAGGCCGTCAGCAGCAGGAATGGTGCACATGCACACATCCGAACACGTGGACATATTTGTACACACCACGCCCACCGTCACCGCCCCCTCTACAGAATAACGGAGAATATCAGATGCTGTTTGTTTAGCATGTTCTACTGCTGAGCAATGTTAGAACATTCTTTTGTACAAAGTACAAGTAAACTTATAATTCTTGTATTTTATTTTTCTATGATTTCCAAAGAGATGTTGTAGATCTTGCACACTGTAAGAGGCAGTTACAGCGAATATTTATTTGCAAATAAAGATGAACAGTTCTGGTGGTTGACTGCTCATTTAATTTGGTTTCGATTTTCTGTTTTTTTTATCTGGGGACTGCAAAGACAATCGAAAGCGACATTGATTCAGTGGAAGAAATACTATCTTCTATCTCTCAGGCTGTGAAACAGGGACAGAGTCAATGCTGCAACCAGGGCCCAACCCCCCTCCGCCTGTTGGCAGATGTCCACTCTGTATATGGAAATATTTTCACATGGCACTTTTTAAAACAAGTTTTTTGAATTTTTTCACAAAGATTTGAAAAAACTAAGTATAAACAACATTATTGTTACGTTAATTGAACTGTGTTTGAAATGAAGCTCAATCAGGGAGACTTTCTTTATGTCTCATTCATTCACATCTCTTTCACCCTCCCCACCTCTTCTAATCAGCTGACTCTTGAATGAGTACGATCATCCAATCAGATTTTGCCATGATCTCCATCAGCTGTCATTTCAGTGATTCACCCTGGTCACCCTCACCTCATTCAGATCCTCCACAGTTTCTAGATCCCATCAACCACCACCAGTATCTAGAACCCGGCAGGTTTCCTCTAGTATACAGCCATGCCCCCTGTCATCTTTGATGACATCACAAAGGGTCTAAGCACCAATTACACTCATTTATATCACATCACTTTCAATTCTCACTGTGCAAGACATTTAGTTCATTCTGTCTCATTCGTCAACAGGAAAGTTACATAAGCACATGTAATTAATAACCAATAGATGGCGCTGTTGGACCAGTGAGTATCTCCAGAGCTGCAACGTGATGAGTTCAAAATTAAATTCTTCACATTATGATGCAATATCAACTTCAGATATTTCATTCAAAGACAGATGTCTTAGCTCAATTTTCAAAAAACACAAATTTCCCATTGAAGTTGATTACTATGTTGTTGTGAGTTTATTGTGACCATGACCCCTTTTCTGCTTTTGACAATTGTAAATGTATTCTGGAATGTTGCTGCTTGTTTTAATTCACTACAACACTACCTGTATCCTATGGATTGAGGGGCCGATATAAGAGGGGCCCCCTCTGAGAGGAATTGTGCTTTAAAGTAATAAATCAAATGCGTCAGGATTGGAGAGGGGGGGGGACTGGGAAGCTCCATGCACCATGATCATGTCACCGGGCGGTTCACAACAGCTTAATTCGCTCCCTAATAGGATTACCTGTCACAAGCTGGAAGGCCCAGGCGGCATCTCGGCATGTGACACAATTCTCAGTGTGGACACGCTATTCCACGGATATTTTCAATTTTTTGCTTTCAAGAGATTTTGCAAATGTCGGGCTCATAATTACCAGCGATTGGACCACCTATGGGGTTATGTGTGTTAAAGTTTAAATGGTGAAGGGGTAATAACAGAGTGTAATGGGGCTGCTGGATAAACTGTCAGGCTGGCTCGGCCTAAAGAAGAAAGAGGTCAACGTTTTGTGTTTGGGGCTGGACAACAGCGGAAAAACCACCATCATCAACCAACTGAAGCCGGCTAATGTAAGTGCACGACACAGGGCTACATTGTGAGTTAACCGAGAGGCTTTTCTTTATGTAGTCCTGACATGTGAGAGCACAGACCTGTTTTACACACACAAATCTTTTTAACACAATGAGAAGGCCTGTCACAATCTTCTTCATTTCACTGCAATCATTCACTGATTGCTTGTTTGCAGCGTTCGAATCATGTAGGCCCATTGTCAGAGGAGTGGAAACATGTTAGTCAGGTAAAGCCCATATCATACTCTCCTCATACCATGTACTTGTTGACGTACTATCGCCATTACTTGTCTGTTTTTGTGTGTGTGTGTGTGTGTGGGCGCATGCAGACGCAGGCACAAGAAATAGTCCCAACAATTGGCTTCAACATTGAAAAGTTCAAGAGTTCAAGGTAAAATCCAACATTAAAATGTATTTTTTTCATAAATAATGTTTTAAATGACTGATGGGGCCGTAAGCATCGCCCTGAACTGATCTCCCTCCCTCCCTCCCTCCCTCCCTCTGCATGCAGCCTGTCGTTCACAGTGTTTGATATGTCCGGGCAGAGCAGATACAGAAACCTGTGGGAGCATTACTACAAGTATGAAACACACAAAGTGCCCATCATTCATTAAATATCAAATACATACCAGGATTGTGTTTCGGTTGTAACGTCTGTGCTCCTGTCCCCCTCAGAGAAAGTCACGCCATCATCTTTGTCATCGACAGCGGAGACACACTGAGGATGGTCGTTGCCAGAGAGGAGCTGGATACTCTTCTTAACCACGAGGGTACAAAATACATGAATTCTGCTGCGATGACTGAAAAAAGCACATTGTGGATACAGTTTCCAGTTTATTCAGCCTGATATGCTTACTGAATGATACTGTTTACTAAAATATATGTTGGAATATAGAAAAATACCTAGCATGGTTTAGGGTTTATCTGTGAAGTAATGGAGATATTATTATATATATGTATTTACATGTATATATAGTTCATTTCTTTAAGCAAAACAATACAATGAGTATCGAGTGCTAGTTTTAGTTCTCTATTGTAAATCATTATTAAACACTGCCAGAATTTACATTTACATTCTTTGAGACCAAATACACATTTTAATGTAGCTATCTTGAAACTTTAGTCCAAAACTAACAATTATCAGTGTTAACATCATTTAATTATTTCTATCTGTTCTCTTAGCTATGATCTCAGTCGTCAACATGTTTTTCTTATCACCCAGATATTCGCAGCAAAAAGATACCAGTATTGTTCTTTGCTAACAAGACGGACCTGCGGGACGCCATGTCTTCTGTCAAGGTCTCACAGATGTTGTCATTGGAGAACATCCAGGACAAACCCTGGCACATCTGGTAATACATCTGTCAAATATGTCTAAATAGGCTGCACACTGTCAGTCCAAAGCTCCAGGAAGGTTTTTAGGTGGATTTAGTTGTCTGAATTTGGTAACTTTCCATCAGCAACATTTTGTGCTTCCTCAGCTTAAAGTCTTAAACAGAGACAATAAAGTGACCTGGTATATTTACTCTGGTCTTTTTCTGCTTCTGTTTCCTTGTCTGTTTACTATTTCTGTCTACTGCTCACAGGTTAAACATTATTGGGAGCAACATGCAGTTATTCAAAAGAGAAGCTCTCTTTTGTGTGCATGTGTTTTCCACCCTGTTTACTCATTAGCCAGCTGGGAGGCAGATGGATTAAGAGCTAGAAAGCTTTAAACATCCAGGATCCAAGAAATGTCATGAGAAAGTGAACATGTGCCACGAAGAGATTAGCTCCTTGACATCTTTTTTTTTTTCCAGTGCCAGCAACGCTATCAAGGGAGAGGGCCTCCAGGAAGGGCTGGACTGGCTGCAAGGTAACACGGCTGATTAATCAAACTGTCATGCTTTGGTCTCAAGAGAAACAAGATCTCAGAATTTCAATATCAATGTTCAAATGCTGTCTGAACCCTTATTAAGATGTGTCTTCTCTTCTCATACTTGTAGAGCAAATTGCACAGTAAGTACCGTGGTGCTGTATGGAGTCAACATGTGAAGTGATTGTGGTGGTAGATTGTATATCAGCATCCTTCTGGATAGGATTTAAAACATATGAGGTCCCAAAATCATACTGAACTGAAGAGGAAAAATTGTCTAATTTTTAAATCACTCAACCTCCGATTGAAAAATCCCATCCAAATGAGGTCTATGTGTTGTATATGCTGTGGCATACTTTTTTACTTTTGTCAAATTTGAATGTAGATGTGCTGATGTTACTTAAAACACAGCCCACTCAAATTTAGCACATGGTTAATCAGGCACCCGATTTTTCCATTCCCTGCAGTGTCCTATGAAATAAAAGCTTAAATAAAGATCAGATGTGTTTTTTCAGTTCATGAAGCTAACACAACCAGGCTCCATAGAGAAAATGTAATTGTTCTGTTCTTTATCTTCTCCCAGATCACATCAAAACAATGAACAAATGAACGACTGAAAGGTTTGTGACGGACGTGTCGTGGATGCGGTGATCTCAATCTAGTCCACCTAACGGAGTATTCATCACACTTATTGTTGCAGGCCTTAAACTTCAATGTGAAGTAGCCTAGTACCTGTGCATGCTAGAAACACCATGAATGTTTCTTTAAAAAAAAAGTACTAATAGTATCTATTTGTATGACTACTCTGTTTAAACGTAAAGCTCTATGTAGTGCTTACATGTGTTATGAGTAAACAAATGTCAACAGTCTAAATATATTATTTTCAAATTTTAAAAATGTCCTTCACAACATTTCCTGAAACTCCCTTTTTTATTCCATGACACAATTTATTAATTTCATCAACTGATTTTTTTAAATGCTTATGTCAGCACTGAATAACTTTCTACCTGGAGGATGATAAAATGTGTTATTTGCAGAGTGCTTGCTGTGTTTGTGTTTTTGTAAATGAAGACAAATTAGAACTGAAAATATTTCAGTTTAATAAACTATACAAAAACAATGTTATCACTGTATCGCAACTATATTTACACAGAGAGATGCAATGTGAATAAATAGTGTCAGATAAATACTGTTAATGAATAAATATTAAGAACGGTTTATAAAAATCCGAGATGTTAAAGGCGAACAAGATTAATTAGACAAATGTCATTTGTATAAATAATTAAACAACCAGCAAATGCAATCTAATTTATGGCATGTAGTGAACTGTAAGCAGTATTCATCCTCTGATTTCTCGGAACTTTCAAACCAACCATGGCAACACCGCCCATCTTCAGTTCTTAGGACTGTTGTGAATCTTATCGTGCTCTTTCTCTCTTTCTCTTCCATCTCTTCTTGCTCTTCCATCTCTTCTTGCTCTGCCCCACATTGTGTCACTTTCAATCCGCATGCGTCCTATGTCAGCAACATGTGGAGGAATTTGGTGTGGAAGCGAGCGCTGGACTCAAGGAGGATACACAGGATCTGGAAATTCTCCCTGTCTCCAAGATTGTTCCCTGGAACACATTGTAATGGCATTATTGACTTCAATATAGATTTTATGGAAAAAGTCTCTCACCTAAAGGTTTATAAACCACAGGTTTACAGAATACAAATTCAGTGGTAGAGAGTTTAGTGACAAATTAATGAAATAAACACTTCTTGTTTTTTAAATGCAATTCCCCAAAGTCACTGTGAGTTCACTCCACAGCAGGACTTAAACAGGATAAATTTTTCATATATCCACATTAGCACAGAGATAAACGATGTAATGAATGGACATCGCCGTTTGTATTATTGGCCACTAGCAAAACGTAAAGCAATCAAGGCAAAAGAGGGTTGTCTCGATTTTTCAATCATACATCGCCCCATCAGTAAATCCCATTTAATGAACCGCTTTTATATTGTTATCTGTTACCCACTATAATCCTGCTCTGATGGCCTCAAAACACTGTGGTGTTAAATCACAACAACTCATGTTACCAATCACAATTTGGAATAAACTTTAAATGTGCCACTGCTTACCTGTGACATAAAACTCAAGGAAGTCCCTGGTGACTTCTATAAACATGTTTTCCAGTTGTTGGATGAAGTAGAACCTTTCAGGAGTGGTGGTGAAGACATTACAGAGCTTTTGTACCAACTTCACCGCCCAGCTCATGTGGTAGCCCTCCTTCTCACACTCCTAAGAAGTCACAAAAAAGAAAACTGAATAGACAGGCTTGTTTCAAAGCTTTTCTGAAAGCTTTAGCTAATAAAACATCTTTAAGTAATGACATTAAATAGAATGGCATTCAATAAAGTGCATACCTCCACCAAGGAAACAAAATTTGAACTCGTAAGATCCAGATTTTTATTTTATCTACAGCAAATTCATAAATACTCATAAATATCAGTCCCCTAAATGTGTCTGTTTTTCACCAAGATCCATTAATTATTCTCTGAGAAATAAACAAAGATGTTGAATAACACACATCTCACAATGTGAGCACCAAAATTAAATGTAATCCTTCTTTAGTAAGGCCCCTCAACTCCACAAAATTTCAGGGAAATTAGCTAAGTAGTTTTTGAGTAATCCTGCTAGCTATCACACAAAAAAATGCAGGGGTAATAGTTATTAGTCAATAATCATTTAATGTGAGCTCATTTATTTAGAATTGATTAAGGTAATGTTACTGCAAGCCAAAATGACCAAGACAAACAGGTCTTCAATCAGAGTCAGGGAATAAAACGATGTAATAAAACCAGGTCGAGAGAAACATTTGCACCTTTTGTTACAGGACAGAGAATGTCATCGACATGTTGATATCAACCTGCTCGTTTTGCACTTTTTAACGGCTGATTCAGAAATGTTTGAATTGAAGCGGATGTTGCACCAATTTGAGGAGGTAACAGAAGAACTAATTAAAATCAGGACCATGGGCTGCACACATGGCTCTTAAAGATGGCAGTTAAGTAAATTGAGACTGATAATGATAATGGTTTATGAAAACTGTTCTAATGGAATGGAGACCTGTCCAACCAATGTGCCTGCCTCCTGCCTGCTGCCTGCTGGATCAGACCTTAATCTCAGAGTTTGGAGAGAGATGAGCAGTTATTGCAAAATGAGTCACAACGACCAGGGTCGGCAGTAAGTGATGATTCATTTCAGTCTGTTAGTTTCACAGTCTGCCATTCCTGGATGCACACTTAATGTCCTGAATTGATGCTTAGTCTAATATTCACTAACTAATCATGTATCCTACCTGCATCATATCATATCAGAAGGAGGACAATGGAAAGGACATTGATTACAAATATCTTATTTTTTTAATTAAAGCCCAATAAACGCCCAATATGAGACAGTATGCAGCTGATGATGTCACCAGTATTATGTAGACGATGAGTCTGGAGATCTCCTGGAGGCGTCCGTTCAGGGCCTTGCTGGCCAGGACAGTGTAGCAGAGACTGCTGCCGCACAGCACCAAGAGACGAGCCACGTTCTCCACATGCCATGGCTGGGGAATGACTGCACATGATAAAGAGTTAAAAGTCTTTCAAAATATCTGTTTCACAATATATACATTCATCCGTACCATATTTATATTGAAAAGTATTAAACCCCTGTTCCGCCAAAACATATACAGTCCACAATTAACATAATGACAGTTCAGCCAATTGCATTTGCAATCACTTTCTTTCAGTCACTACCCAGAGCTCATGACAGAGAGGGGACAGGAACATAGATCAACTGGTATACTGAAGCACCCTCTTCACCACAACGGTCAAGTACAGCACCTGCATTACTGCTGACGCCGCATTGACCAGCCTTTCCATCTCCTTATCCATCTTCACTTGTGAACAAGACCCAGATAACTTAACTTATCCTTAACTTGGGGCAGCAACAGCATCTAATTAATACTATATCATGATAAAGATTTTCATATTGTGGTCCGTCTATCAGGTCTACGACATGAACATATTCAAGAACCACAGAAGTATGATACCGATGAGCTCCTCCAGGATTGCCAGTATCGAGTCGTTGCTCCAGCCTTTGACTTCTAGTTTGCCTAACAGCAGGAGGATGGCCTGGGCCAGGTCCCACATGGTGGTGTGAGGCAGCCCTGTCTCCACCAGATCCTGCCAACCCAGAGTGCCTGCACGTACAGAGAAACTCACACACTTATAATTCTTTTACAGCAAAATTAGAGGGTATACACAGATTTTTCTTATTCATCCCCATAGTGTTTTTTTTGGCCAGTGGAATAGGGGCTTAACTGTGTCTGCACTACCACAATGTGACACTATGATGTATTTGGGGAAGTCTCTTAATATGACTGATTTCTACAGCTAGCTATGCATGGTAGTTCATTCTGATCAACTTTACATTGTAGATGTTTACTAATATTTTTTGTATTACAAGTCCAAATTGCATCAAATTCAACACTGCATTTAACAATACACATACCAAATGTGAAGCTAATAAGATTAACCGGTTTTGAAATATGCAGGCGACGGATAGAGAGACAGAGATTTTTTAAATTATTAGATTGCAAAGTCAAGTTCTAAGGGTGATTGTAAACAAATCAAGAAACATCAATGTCAGCAAAACAAAAATCAGTCCAATAAACAAGGCATGTTCTCATTAAGTCAAATAAATCGATGTTTATGTTTTTTTGATTAAAAAAAAGGTTTTAACTGTTATCTTACCCTCAGGCAGCTGTGGTCCGTAGAGGATGAACAGCAAGTGGGCCTGACTGACCAGGGGCCAAGGCCTCAGAAGTTGTGTTAGCCAGAACTGACACTCTGGCTGCTTCAGCCACGGATCCAACAGAACCTCACGGCAGAACAGACGGAGCTGCACCTCCTGGTAACTCCTCATCCCTGATGTCAAACATTCAGAAAGTAAGTCAACATGTTCTTTGTATCATGCTTTAGGATTTCACAAGCCTCGACAGTAAAAGGCCCAGAGTCACTAAGAGAGTAAGCACTGCTTTTGGCTCATCCTCTTCTTTGTTGTTTAAACCACTAAGACTTAAAACTAGCTTATGCACATCACTGCCCCCACCACCATGGATCTGAGCCAGGGAGACTGAAATTAATGTTATGCAAGTATTACAGAATGGATAGGGTGGGTTTAATGCAGAGAACACTTTTTCTCAATCCTTGTGTACTTAAAACACACACCTGGTTTGGCAGAGATAACTGCCTCTGCTTTTTTCAGTAGGTTTGTGCGATCACACAGGAAGTTGAAAACTCTGTGGCACTCCAGCTCATCCCAGCCTGCAATCAGTGTCTTTAATGGGATAGGACACAAAATCAAGACAAAGATGAGTCTTGATAAAGTTTAATCATTCAAATGAGCCTAACCTTCACCCACATTATATTTTCAGTGTTTCCGATGAAATCTTTAAGGGTTTTCATGTTAAGCTGAAAACAAATTATAAAGGTATTATCCAGAGCATTAGCTGTGTATAAAGTGCTGTAAAAACTATATGTAAAAACAGTGTGCCTCCACAAGTGCAACACAGAATGAGGTTAAACCTAAAGAAGTATCCTTTGTTATTGTAAACAAGACCTGATTTTGAGGAGGAAGTCTGTGGGTTTGATGGAGTTAGCATGCGATTATGTTGCTTGGCTGTATCTGAATTTTGGTTTCCCTTATTTGCAATTTAAGATCACTTCATTAGACAATTTCTACTTTCTCACCTTAAGAAAGACACCACAGCTTGAGAAGCCGATGCAGTTGAGAATTTGACACTGCTCTAACATGAAGCAGGGAATCTGTAAAACAATCAATGAGAAGCTTCTGTGAGATAAGTCAGCCTATGTAATACCATCATCAATAAGTATGTTGGCTTGTGCAATAGTCACATATGTAATAAAGCCAATTAGGATCATCATGGTACTCTATACTAACAATTTCACTGCTTAGTACTGTTAACAACGAAAACTAACCAATTTAGCTTTATCATGACTGGTCTTTAAGACAAATAGTGCAGTCTATTTGATAAATAAAACAATTTAACCAGGTGTAAAAACTATGGTAGCCGGACACATACTCTGCCTACAAATGGAAGGATGAATCAGACATTCTCAGAGCAGGCTATATACCTATGTATATATAAATTGTGTGTAAAATAAGCTTGCCTTAGCCAGAGTGCCTATTTTTATTTTCTTCGACCCCTATCACAAAAACGAGACAAAGGTATGTCACACAATATTCTGTTCTGACTCACCTGCTCATTACTTACCTTAGAGAATTTGTTAAAGATAAACTTCAACCTTTCCTTTGTTGGTAGCAGAAGTGTACATCTCTTGAATAATAAACCTGAGACAGTCAAAACAAAAGCTAATTATTTAAGTAAATAATTAATAATTGTGATCTCTCATATATGTGAAATTCATATGGTAGCTTATATCCTTGTATAACTGCTTCATACCCAAGTTTCTGTAGTGTCCAATAGTGGATTTCTGCTCCAGGTAGGTGGAGTGGTGAAACCTTTGGGAGATCATTTTATTCTTCCAGGTCATGGTGGAGATGTAGTCCAAGATGAATTGAGAGGTTTCTTTGGACACCATGCTAAAGACACTGATTTCCAGCACTGGAAAAAATTATTTTCATCACAAAATACTGAATGTGTTTCTTTGTATTTTTTTCTGTTACACTAATATATGTCCAATTTTGTCTTTAATACTTATCACCTGATTTGATGATTTAGTATTTTATGTACATTATATATCTTTTGGGTGTGAGTGATCATATAACTTACTGATTTGTACCACAACCCACATGTATGTTTACATATAATGTATGCACTCATGCTGAGTCAAATACAAATATTTAATGCAACTGGTGCAAAAGTGAAAGATACATATAATGAGAGTGTATTTTTGACATACACACAAACACTAAACTAAACTTGAACAACTCAAGCCTTCAATGGGCTTGATGTAGGTCTGCACTACTTTTAATGACACATCTTGTGTTGAATTCAGTTCCAGAGGCTCATTGAAGCTCAGGTTCACCAGTTTCTCACCTGACAGTTGATCCAGGATCAGGTTGAACACCTCCGGTGGGAGTGTGTGGAGGGAGCTGGCGCTGCTGACACCTTGGCTGCGGGTCCGGATGGTTCTGGCCAGGGGGACACTCTTCGTGTGTCTCTCGCTCTTGTACATCAGCGTGTACCTTCTGACATTTCTGGAGGCTTTCCTGACCATGGCTAACCCCACTGAGTCCACTGCATAGAAGAACACGAGGAAAATATCACATGGAATCAAAGAGTACTTAAGCTAACTTAGCTAAACCTCCTCTGACTAGTGTGGGAGAACCATAGACTGTATATAAAGAGGGGAGAACCCACTAGGCTAAGCCACATGCTAACTGAGCTAGCTCTACCTAGAACTCTTAACAAACTAATGCTGGCTAACTTTATACGCGCTTCCATTTACGTAGTGGCAGACAAACGTAGTAATACACACTGGAGGTAAACACGTCTTACCGATGAAATAAACGTAGACGGTTGATATCTACTGTAAAAGTGAGTTAGCAGCCTAGCTCTGTATTAGCTGTATGCTAGCTCTGTGTTAGCTGCCTTCGGTCACTGCGGCGCCAAATGAACAAGTGCAGTTCACCGACAGTTCAAGTCTCTCACTTGTTTCTTCTTCCTGTGAGAAAACAATAACCTTTTCAAATAGTTTATAAAGTTTTCATGAAATATTCCTCACGAACTTACCTGTTGCAGGCTGGAGAAACTAATCCAGATGTCACTGAAGTGCAACAGAGTACTAGGGCTGCTGAGGAAAGTTATAATAGTTCAATAATACAATTGTTTTATCACACAATAAAGTATATTAATAAAGTTGTGATATTATGAGAAAGAAGTCTCAATTATACAATGATATATATTACAAGAATAAAGTTGTGCTACTCCAAGAGTTAAATTTTAATATGTAAGAAAATAAAGTGGTAATATTACAAGAATAAAGTTGTAATATTATACTAATAAAGTTGTAGTAAAGTTTTTGTTCTATGACAATAAAGTTTTACTAAGACTAGAATAAAGTTGGGATAAAGTTATTATGTTACAACAATTAATTCATAAAAGTACAAGAATAAAGTTGTAATATTACAAGTATTAAAATGATTAATGAGAGAGAAGTCAAAAAATCCCATTCAAGAATAAAGTAGTGATATTACAATATTATTTTAAAAATTTAACTTATTTATTACCGCCCTATACTCTGCACTGAAATAATCTAAAAACTAAGAAAAGCATATTTAGCTGTATAGTTATTAGCAGTGGCTATTTACTACTGTAGCGAGGCAATATTAAATTACAATACCAACAGAAAAGTGTAGAACTAAATTGTGTTGTGGGAGGTCATAACTACATACAGTAATGTAAATAAATAAATATTCAATTTGAGAAACTATGTGGAAATCTTTTCTAAGTTAAATAGTTACATTACATTCCTTCATTATAGTTATTGTTCCATCCAAAATGAGAAGAGATTTACTCAGCTAGTGTGTGTGTGTGTATGGTCTTTAAAGTAGGCCACCTCTGCCTTGAGTTAGTTCTCTGTGAATACACATTATTCAAAGGGCGTGTGAAGTGCAGAAAAGTTTGCAGCTTCCCAAACCTCTGAACACATAAAAGAGACTTGAGAAAAAGAAAGACCTGTGTTACACTGTCGACATGGCCCTGCTGCCCTCCAGCAGTGTGTGCTTCAAAACCAGCTCTGCTCAGCTGCTAATCACAGGATTACTCTGCTTAACTAAGACTATTAAGTGTTCCACATTCAAATGGCGTCTCCCACTGGCGGACCTTGGAGAGGATCATCCCTGCACTACAGGGCTCCGACAGAGAGCTGAACACCGCGCAGAGGACCCAGGAGAAGGGTGAGGAAAATGCTCCTGTGTACTGACAGGATGTCACGGTGGGTTGGGACAGAGAGATAAGGACCACCAAGCGAGAAGATGGACTTAGAAGATGAACTCGGGATAGAGGTGCAGCTTTGAGTGACCTCACCTGGCTGGTTACACAGTAGGTACCACATTACCATGAAGTCAAATGTATGTCAGCTTTTGCATGACTGATGATTACATGAATTTATAGGCTACTTTATAAAATCATTGTTTCATTCATTCTTCTCGTGTATTTCATTGTTATCCACAGATTCAGGATATTCAGGGAGCCGAGTCACTGGGACTAAAACAGCACAACCAGTGAGGACAATATCTCCTCTGTCTGTCTCTGCTCTGCCTCCGACAGTTGACATCCGCCCTGTCCACTGTCTGGAGCAACATGTCAGCAGCAGTGCTTTCTCTCATGTCATCTCTGACATAATGCTCGCGGCGCTGACAGGGATAATGCCGATGATGATATCTGGCCAGTCATATACTTGACAGGCCAGACACACACACATTGTACTTGTCTGTTTAAGCACAGGCAGAGACAGAAGGTGCTGGTCAGTGTGCAATCAATGCCAGTGACCTTATTTCTCTGGAACTCCTCCAAATATGTCTCCATCACTTAGGATGACTGTGCCGTCTGGACACCTGTGATCAAGGCTCTCTAGTCCTCATGTAACCTTGTTGGTGAGTATTCAAAATATGAAGCGAGTATTAATTGTACAGCTTAGGTATTGCAGATGGTCAAAATTTGATGTTTGCACAGTGACTTTGTAGGCAAACAAAAATGAATCAAGAGGCTTGTCACAGCTTTGCTTATACTTGTTATGTCTCCTGTGTAGTAGATCATTACATCAGCACAATGAGCCCTGTATCTGGCGCCAGGTCTAACAGTGAACAACAATCAGGCTTTATAAACAGCCTCTGCTCTCCGAGGAAGTCAAAAAACAATGGTTTGTTTTTCTTTGGTTTTTACGTTTAAAGTGTCTTGCGGGAACAACAGGCTGTTTCTAATGTAAGAAGTATTATAACTTTTATGTTATGTTGTGTGTTTTTTAAACTCTCGTTGTCTCTGTTTTAAAATAATTGTTTGCTCATTATCCAGGAACTTTTCACCCAGAGAACATTGAGGAGGAACATAAGTAAATGCTTAACTACCTATTTTGTTTCTATGAGGGAGGGGGTCCTTACTTGAGGCCTGGATCTAGGGGCAGACAGCTGTGGAATATGTGTGCAAAAGTCCCAGATGAGGACGGAGAATAATAGGACATAATAGAATTCGGCCCATTAGTGCAACAACAATCTCTTCCTGCCACAGTCTGGGGCCCCGCTCTGTGATCAACTCTCTCAAATACCCTGCAGAGCTGTGAAAAATGTTCAAAGTTAGTGGTTTATAACAGCGACTCTCAGCTTGGGCGCTTCCTGTAAATATTTAATTTCCCCTCTCTCCCTTCCTGAGGGGTGGTGTACAGAGCTCAACAAATAGACTGCTGTGGTTAGCCCTCCTGAGGGGGGCGTTAAACAGGTGAAGCCGAACAAAGCTCTCATTAGTTACAGATGCAGTCATCTGCCACTCACCGGAGACTGATGACAGAATACTGAAAGTTTCCACTGCTATTTTTGCCTGCGCTCCTCCAGAGACACTGACTGTGACTGGATGTTAGCTCAGTGGAATTTACTCTACTGCTGGGGACCATGCAGATGAAAGGAGGAATCCAGCCACATCTGCAGCCTGGGGGACTGTAGCTTTGTTCCAGAGAGTGCTCATTTTTATGTGGTGACTTGTTACGATTAATTGAATCATCATTTTCTTGACTTCAGTGTATATTCCTGAGACTAGTGATTGACATGCACAGCTTTGAGACCTTTAGATTGTCTCCTGGTGTGTGTACATGCTCATCAGCTGTGACTGTCACTTTGTACTTTGCAGTTTGAGCGTCTGACCGACTGAAACAATCATGGCCAGCATGGCCGTTCAGCTCCTCGGTTTCTTCTTGGGCCTGCTGGGGTTTGTGGGAACCATGGTTGTGACTCTGCTCCCCCACTGGCGCACCACGGCCTATGTGGGCTCCAACATCATCACAGCCACCGCCTACATGAAAGGCCTGTGGATGGAGTGTGTGTGGCACAGCACTGGCATTTATCAATGTGAGGTGTACAGATCTCTGCTGGCACTGCCACAGGACCTACAGGTACACACACCATTTAGTGACAGTATTTAGATCAAGCATTTGCTTTTCTCTGCTTCAGATCATTTGCTGGCAGCCACCTTAGAAAACATAATGGCTTTGTTTAGTTTTTTTAATTTTATTACATTTTATAGACAAATCAGTTTCTCTGATTAAGTGGGTAAATTTTCAGCAGATTATTATTACCTATTACCTATTGACTTCATGCAATTATAATATAATATAATGACGTTAATTCAAATGTGATTATACAAGATAATCTATGTATTGATATATTGATTAACCAGTGGTTTGGTTGAATACTGATTCGCTGTATGTATAAAACTTTAAATAATTTTTCCCATCATTCTTTCCCAAACATTTTTACCAATAACCCCTAATATGTGTAGAAATTTTGGTCTCATAAGCTTTTTTTGTCACTAACTGGGCTTATGAGTAACACAAAATGGAAATGACCTTGAAGCATTGCAAACATAGCTTCTCAGGAAATACTTAATGTTTAACAAATTGGACTTTGGCTGAATGAATACAAATTCAATTTTTTTGCTTGAGATTCATTCACAGACAAGGAAATATATATTATCTAATCTTCCATTATTATGCTTTGACTCAATGGGAAAAATCTATTGTCAAACCTCATCTGAACAAATTTTGTAAAACTCCAGTAACAGAAATCCAAATAATCATGTCTATATCATCTCTGATTCCCCGGGTTGCATAATTGTTGTGGTGAACTTCTAAATGTGAATTGGCATGGTTTTGAAACTTTACATTTTAAGCAGCTCTCAGTGAATTCAGTAATTTCATAAAATATCTAGATGATAAGAAGCTACTTTTTTCACTGCTAAGCAGGGCCTGGAGTCTTCTGTATTCCAAACATAACAGCAGGTTTAGTCCCAACTTTAAAAATCTTTGTTCTCCCCCACATTAGGCTGCCCGGGCACTCATGGTGCTTTCCTGCATCACCTCAGCCCTGGCATCTCTGGTCTCTGTGATGGGGATGAAGTGTACCCGCTTCGCACGTGGCTCGCTGATCAAGTCTCCGCTGGCAATGAGCGGAGGGATATGTTTCATCTGTGCAGGTGTCCTCTGTCTAATCACTGTATCCTGGACCACCAACGATGTCATAATGGACTTCTACGACCCCTTCCTCCCTAGCGGGCAGAAGTATGAGATCGGCCTGGCCGTGTACCTTGGATACGCCTCAGCTTGCCTCAGTCTGAGCGGAGGACTAGTACTGTCCTGGAGCAGCTGTGGTGACAGGTCACGGAGTTCCCCTCCTATTCAGATGAGTCAACCATCATCGCCTCCCCCTGCCTTCAACCACATATACCCCCCTTCTCCACCATACAAGCCCCCTGAGGCCTTGAAGGACAATCGTACTCCATCATTTTACTCCCTTTCCAGCAATGGATACAGGCTCAATAACTATGTCTAAAACAGGAGGATATACAAACACAGTAACTGTGGTCATGACAGCTGTGTCCAATCTCCAACACTTCTCCACCTTATTTGTAATTCTATATCTTTGCCACCTCCTTACCCATAAAACAGGATGGACACGGAAAAGTACCAGTTCCTCACATTTCTATATTTGACCACTACAGATAAGACAACTTGACAAACGAACTTCGCTGTGATCAGGTCTGATGTCTCAGTTACAAGGAACCAAAGTCTTGAAGAGAGCTGAGAACTAAAACTTGTTGACCTGCTGTCACACAGCCAAAAGACCAGAAGGTGGCAGCACACTCCTGCAAGTAGTCACAATGATGGACTATATGGACTCCCATATTCTAACTTTAACAGCCATGTTAATATTTGACCAGTTGTCTTCCATTTTTAGTTTTGGTTAAGTCTTTGTAATAGTGCAGGCTGTACATCAGTATTTATAAAAAACAAGCACATTGTATTTAAGGTCTGTATTCGTTTTATTAATTTTATGGACCCTGAAAATAAAGGTAGACAT